CCCCCAGCGTCCTTCACGCCGCCGAGCGCTAATCTCTGTTTACCCGGTGGCCTTATCTGATTCCCGGTCTGAAAATTGCCTGCCTGCGACCGAGTGCGGAAAGGCCGGAGGGCAGCCGTCCCGCCCAGCTCTTCCCGGGGGCTGCGGCGCGGGCCCTGCGTTAGTTCCTCCCCCGGGCGGGCAGCTCTCCTTTCCCGCTATTGCCACATCATCAGCCCTTCTGACATCCATTGGGAAGACTGTAAATTAGACGTCTAAGAGAACGTGCTAGCGCCGTTGCTTGTGAAGACCGCCTGTACCTTACCTGTACCACGTTCAGATACAAAGGTTTTAATTAAAAAGAAAAAATCTTTATTGTAGACTTACGAGTTTAAAACTTTGGCAAATAAAATCACTGTAGTTAGTCTTCGGTTAAGTATTGCACGTGGTTGAGCAAGCGTCTTTGAGCGTACCTTCTAAAGACACTTGAGAGGAGGTGTTGTATTTGCTTTTTCTAGCTTTGACTGACAATCCTGAAGTCCTTGGATTTATTTGTCCTGCTCAAGGATTTTTCTTCCCCGTGAAAGTTTTCAAACATTTATTTTAAGTGTGTACTCATAGCAGTTAGATCTTTTTCAGGCTTGTGTAAATCAATCATCCATTCATTTCTACTCTTTCACTTTTGGAAAACGTTAGGCTCGTTAAAAGAAAACTCTGTAGTTTTGTGTATACGTTTTAAAAGTTGTTAGCCTAGCCTGCACGTGCTCTAAACTGCAAACAGACAGAACTTTGTCCTGTGGCCAATATGTATATTAATCCTATCTGCCCAGCGTTTGAATGTATAAGACTCTGCTCCATAAAAGCAAAGAGGCAATGAACTATCAGATTGCGCTTGTCTTGAAGCCTTGCTCTGGAGCCATGCTCTAGGTCAGGTTTCTTTTCTGACTAGTGTTGTGGTTCTGTTGAACATATGGATATAGTAGTATATGATATTGAGGAGGTCATATTAAAAAAAGACTTTTTCTGTTTTAAAACTTGAATGAAAATAAGTGCAAAAATAATAACTTTTAAACTACCTGTGAAAGTGTAGTGTTCTGATACCAGCAGATGAAAAGGACATGCTAATCATTTATTAAACTTACTAGTCTTAGAAGAAACAGTACTTACTAAATTAATTTCCTGGCAATAGCAATGTCTTTTTATTTTCACATTTGTAATGACAAAACAAAATATTTGCATACGTTGACAAGTTCAAAAATTAAATAATAGCTTTTGAGGCAAGTTGGTGGCTTTCTGCGAATTTAAGCATCGCTGCGTAAATGCTGAACATTTTGTCATCCAGCTGTAAACTTTTTGGTTTTGAACTTACTTGCACATAAACGAGTAGATCAAAAAGTTATTAGAGAAGAAAAAAGGCTGAAAGATCAACACAGACGATCATCTGAATGTGAGGTTTTTGCAACTGAGGCTTCAAAACACAGCATTGGACAAGTTTTTAAGAAATTCTTCAGACATTAGTTTGAAAATTGTACTACAATGTCAGTTTTCTGTTGATTAACTGGACATTAAAAAGGCTTTCTTGTATTTGCATTTTGTTTTGGTAGGTTCAGGTTTATTAGTTGCCGCTCAGGATGCTACAGAAGATGAGGAAGCTGCGGAAGATACTGTAGTTGAAGATGAAGATGATGAAGCTGAAGTTGAAGAAGATGAGCCAACAGACTTGGTAACTGTACATGAATGTTCCTTCATAAGTATGAATTAGACCAAAAGTACTTGAAGCTAGATAGTTTAGATATCTTTAAATATGAGTTTAACAACATTGCTATTTCCATTTCCAAGTCTCCAGTGAACTTGTGTTCAATTTAAAGTTTCAGAAGGATTTATCTTTTCTTCCTGAGTTACCAGTTGAAAAACCACATGGGGACAGCCCAATTTCTGACTACCAAAACTGCAGTTCACAAAAAAGAAGACCAAGTGAGAGAACCAGGTTCTCATAGGAGCCCCTTGTAGTTCTTTTCCAGCTTAAACTGCATCTCAGTAAACTGAGAAGGACGTTAGGGTATAGGACTACTTCATTCTGGCTTATTTGGTACTGATTTTCAAGGGGCAACAGAATCTTACTTCTTAGTTAAGCTCAGTATTAATTCTGAAAACCTTGTTTTGCAGCCTGTTTTCTCTTACTATATTCCTAGTCTCTTCCTAGGCCACTTGTTGCAGGGCATGCCTGTTATACCAGTGGCCACACTGCTGTTCAGGGTCACTCGCTTCAGCTTGACACAAGTGAAATATTTTATGTAGTTATGTGATCTGCTTATAGCAGTAGAGTATTAGGCTTGCTAGGCACATAGTGTACTTAAATTGGTACAAAAATTTCTCAAATTTTTGGTGTCAAATAAGCAAGTTTGGGACATTACTGGGAGGAGCAGACAAGTGTAACAAAAATGAAGACCTGGTAAACTGTTCTTTGATTCTGTTAGATTTTTACTGATGTTGGTAAGTTGGTGAGCTTATGGTTGACTAGCTTCGCTAAGTGAAATCATCACCAAGGTGAGCTTGAACAAGTGTATCCACGAACTGACTTAGTTCCAACAGTCTAACCATTTCCAGGCATACATAACACAACTAATTAAAACTGAACAGAAAGCTTCTATAAACACTCCCTCTGTAGTGAAAGCAACTCTCATTTGCCTCATGGTTGCCTATAATTTTGGAAATGCTTGTTTTCTAAATAGAAACAGCTTAGATGTGAATACTTCACATTTAGATTGTATTCTCTTCCTTCCTCCCCCAAATAAAGACCTTACTGTTCCTTTCTGATTATAAACCTTTCAATACAGCTAAATGCAGTTCAGATTAGTCACTGTGTCAGATACAACAAGTAGAAGGATAAATGCTGAAAATGATGCTAATCAAATCTAGAGGGAGAACAGACCATGCGC